TTATTAAACTCGAAACTTTTTATTAAACTCGAATCCAGGTAACTTTATCTGCCAGATGCCTAAAATATTCCTCACAGCAGCTGTCCAGATGATTGTGTGGATCATCCGTCCAGCATAGAATAATATATGTATTCTTGCTGGAGGGCTGCTAGGTGGCTATCTGTGGGTGTAATAAGACTAGAGAAATAACTATGTTTTGCAGCCCTGGTACAATCCTAAATAAGGGGCTCTTACTTGTCTTGAATGTTCTTGTAGGTATCTCTTCTGAACAGGCCTTGTAGGAACAATATTGCTGGAAAATCTTTTGGCTCTGTGGGCCACACAGTTCACTCAGTGACATTTCCAGGTTACATCTGTGCAAGTGCATGTACAACCCCCCACTTCTTCTCTGTACCCATCCTGTACCAAGTATGCATTGTTCAGTTCACACAGTATCTTCCAGCATCCTGTCTTCCCAATCAAACTATATCAGACTGTTGGTCTTTGACCGTAATAATGGTTGATTGATTGTTTGATATCTGAATACTACTGTTATTCTATTCTACCATCTGGGGTATGGAATTGTTCTTATGTCCAATCATTTGTCTTTCCTTCTAGGACAGTACTGTAATGATAATGCTATATTAGTGCTTTCTAATCGAATTACACTACAAATTATTTTGACAGTATTATTTTTTTCTGGGCCTGAGAGAAAATCACCTTATACAAATGTAATTTTTCCTTGTTTTGATATCTAGCAGCAGCTGCTTCAGCAGATTCTGCAACTCTGCCTGCCCCAGTTGTGGCTGGAATCATTATGGGATTCCTTGTGACAGTCACAGCCATTTCTGTATGGGTTTATTGGAAACATTTAAGAAAAAGAAGGTAATAAAACAAAATAAAACAATAAAATATAGGATTATCTACTTTTGAGGTGGGCATGAGAAGTGAGTGGAATTAGTATAAAAATGGTCCTAGCTTAGATTTTTTTAGATAGCTGATTTAGCTAAATGTGCATGTTCTATTCCATGATATAAGAGATAGTTGAATGGCACCACAAAGTAAGAAAAATGGCTCAACAAGAGTCTATCAAAATGCAGTTATGAACTGNCACACACACACACACACACACACAAACAATATGTTTGAATATATGAATGTATGTATGTATGTTTGAGTCAATGTTAATTCCTGGATTAATATTCTTGGCAAGATTTCAGAAGAGACATGCCATTGCCTGCTAGGCTAGGGCTTAGAGAAAGTGGCTGGTCCAAAATCATACAGTTGTTTTAGTTGTGCCTAAAATGGAGTTAGAATTCATGGATCTCTTGGTTCCTAGCCTGATGCTTTAACCACCATATCAAACTTATTCTTATATTCTCTGTAGTATACTGTCTATTCTGTCTCCATATTAATTTCTATATATTTGTCTACCAGTATCTATATGGTCTATAGCAGTGGTTCCCAAACTTTTTCAGTCCACTGTCCCCTTGGTGCTACAAACTGATCCTCAGTGCCCCCCACCCAGTGGTGGAATTCAAATTTTTTACTATCGGTTCTGTGGGTGTGGCTTGGTGGGCGTGGATGGGGGCGTCATCCTTCCTCCTGGCTTCTCTGTTGCCCCCCTCCCCCGCCCTAGATTTTAAACTGAATGCTAGGCTCAGCTCTGCAAGGGAGAGCCCAAATGGAGGGAAATAGCTTGGGAAAAGAGTAGATACCTTGGCTGGGGCCTGGGGGAGGTAGCTAGAATAGAAGCAAAGGAGGACTCACTGGGCAGAGATCTGCTGGGCTTGTGGTTGAGATAAACGAGGGAACCAGGGAGCAGCAGCAGCAGCACCTGTGCCTCTAGGCAGGCAAGGTACGAAAAGGAGTGAGTGGGAGGGGCAGGAGATGAGGGCGGAGCCAGTTAATGGTGCATTTTACCGGTTCTCTGAACTGCCCATAATTTGTCCTTCCATTCAGGAGAACCGGTCAGAACCGGCTGAATTTCACCCTTGCCGGAAGTGCTCAGCTGACTGGTGGCCAACAGAACCCCAGGCAGAATTGCGCCCCATGAGGAGACCACCCCCAGCACTACTCTGCCACCTCCCTTGCCTCTTAGTGTCCCCCTGCTGCCCCCCTTGCCTCTTAGTCCCACCCTAAGTCATCCCACTGCCCCCCCAGGGGGCAGTACCACCCACTTTGGGAACCACTGGTCTAAAGCTTAATACAAGGACAAAATCCATTGTATAGTGCCTCCTATTGGTCAGGTGCTAATATAACCATTTGCAGGAACCACAAATTACTTCACTCAGTTTATTTAGCACAGTCTAAGAGGTTGCCTGAACTAGAGGCGTCCAACAAGGATTTTAAAAAGTCAAAATTGTAATGTCAGAAGTACAAAGGAATCTCTGACCCATTTGCACATATGCCAGTTTCAGAGATAGGTATAAAAGAAGCAGCTTTATTGCACTGCTATGACCATAACTTAACACTTTCACTCCCTGTATACTGTTGATGGGAATCTAAGCAGTTATGGATCATCAAGTAGGAAGGTCATGATAGAAAGGCTCATACTATCTTGGAAAAGGAAAACAAAATGAACCCAGTAGAAGAGATGGGTGGAAGAGTGGGAGCAAGACGAAGAAAGGATTCTTATTCCTAAAATGGTACAGGTAGTCCTAACTTATAACCATTCATTTAGTGACTGTTTGAAGACACAAAGGCACAAAAGTGACTTATGACAATTTTTTCATACTTATGACCATTGCAGCATCCCCACGGTCACCAAAATTTGTATGCTTGGCAACAGACAGGTGATGATCTTTTGTGACCTTCTGACTAGCAAAGTCAGCCAGATTCACTTAACCATGTTAGTAACAACGGCCGTGATTCACTTAACAGCGGTGGCAAGAAAAGTCATAAAACAGGGCAAAATTCACGTAGCAACTGTCCCGCTTAGCAATTTGGGGCTCAGTTGTGGTCATAAGTGGAAAACAACCTGTCCTATGTTGCAATCTTGAATGCCGTTCAATTGCCTTTGTTCAAAAACTTTGGAGAAGTATCCTGATAGCATTGCCAAAATTCTCAATGGGGACTAAGTGGAATATGGAAGTTTCCTTACATTATTGGGGAATGTTTCCAACAACAGAGAACTGAATTTACATTGCAATACTCCTCAATGGACACAAACAGAATTGTCTACCAAAGCCATCAAGCTGTCTTCCATCTTAGCTGGTAAATGTTTTTGATGTCCCAAAAGGGCTACCACCAGCAGCTTTTGGAATGTTAGCATGTTCAATTTGTGAGTTCTAAAACAGTGGCCCTCAACCTTTTGGGCACCAGGAACTGGTTCCATGGAGACAGGTTTTTCCGTGGAACGGAAGGGGTGTGGTTTTGCATGCTACCAGCATCCTGTGAATGGGGCATCACTTGTTTGCATGGCCCGGTTTCTGGCATGCTGTGGACCAGTGTTGTTCCATGGACTGGGGGTTGGGACGTCTGCTCTAGAGCCTTTCCAACAGAAAGACTATCCTGATTCCACCTTAGTGGTAAAACAGACAATTTGGAGGATGAAGGAAGACATGTGGTGGGAGTAGTGAGGAAGGAAATCCTAAAGACAAGCCAGTAAAATATAAATTAAAAATGATAAAAATAAGCTCACAATAAAAGCAGATATCAAAAGTTTTCACCTAGATGAAAAGATAATAAATAATAATAATATAGGACATTGATGACATAATCTAATCAAAATGCTTGTGTTCCCTCAAAATTCAACAGGTTTTTGTTTGGCCATTCTGTAGAGATCTTCCACATTTTTGCAGTTGGTATTGCAGGTCTGCAAGGAGTTCTTCCCCTGAAACATTTTTTCCCTCTCACAGGTCCATAGATATTTCATCTAAGCAGAAATTTTCACTTGCATCTCAAGCTTTGATGTTACAATAGCATCTGGGAGAAGAAAGGCATGTACAAATCCATAGCAGGGATGGGTTCCTGCCAGTTCTAACCTCTTCTATAGAAGAGGTTCCACAAGTCTACAGTGCCGTTTAAAACCAGTTCCAGCTCCCTCCCCCCACACATCATCAAGATAAAGAGCGAGAGGAGGAATTCTGGGAATTGAAGTCCACAAGTCTTAAAGCTATCACGTTTGAACACCCCTGGGTTTTTTTCTAAAGGGTTAAGGGTGCAAGGGTCTTGTAACTTGACAAGTTTCAAGTTTCAAGTTTAATTTTATTTATAGGCCGCCCAATCTCAGAGGACTCCGGGCGGCTTACAGCAAGGGGAGGAAAACAATAAAAGAAAATAAAAATAAAAATAGACAAGTTAAAAACAACACAGATACATTCGTTTCAGCCAGGGCTGGACCTCAACAATGACAGCTTTAAAACTTGTGTGCTTCAAATGCC